GTCCGACGATTTCAGGATCTCGAGTACAATCATGCCGGGTGTGGAAGAAAAGGTTGACAACCTTCTTGACGACTCCGACGGAATCCTTGAAGGCTGATTTCGATGGCGTATGTATCTTAGCAGCGAAATCTGAAGCATTTTTGTCTCAACCTCTCGTCAAGGAGCGTCCAGTGCTGCCCTACCTGTCTCTTGGCTTGGATCCAGCATCTCAACCCTGTGACCCACCTGCGTAATGAATCAGAATCAGAATCAGAATCAGAATCAGAATCAGAAAACTTCACCACCATCACCAGCACCACTACCACCACCTACCTCCAACTCCTCCTCCTCCTCCTCCTCAGCACCTGGGGGAAGCAATCACGGCCAAGGATCAGCGTCCTTGGCTTGGGGCTGATGGTAACGTAAGAGGGCACGAGAGCGGGGAAGGGCTTCACGTCGAATCTAGTTCGAGCTCGTAGAATTCGTTGAACCCGACGGGGTAGAAGTTCAGACCCTGACGAAACCTGGAAAACTCGTCACAAATGCTGGCGTCGATTCTCTCCCTCTCTCACCTGTCCCATCGCACAGAAGCAAGCTTCCCGTTTGCGCCGAGTTGGACGATGGTCCCGATGTCGTTGAGAGCGTCTGAGGGTTATCATGTGTGTGTGAGAAGTAAAAGTAAAAGATGAAGACGGGAAGTAACAACAGGGCGGAAGATAGAGAGAGAAGAGAGACGTCAGGCACAAGATCGAGGCAGAGAGGAGAAACAAGAGAGTGGAACACGACAAGTTTCGCATCCCCCATAACGTACCATCATCAGTGGAGGGTCGGGGTTCGGTCAGCAGGTCCGGGTGCCATTCTTGCCTTCGTTTCCTCGCCGGGTGTCAAGCGCACCCTTCAAGGCAAGTCTGATTTACCTCACTCGCATCCCTATGACAGGGGAAACGTCCTTTGCGAACTCGTCATCTTCCAACATTGTGAACTTCACTCTTACCATCCCCACGAGCGTCGAGCTCTCGCGCAGCAGTTTCTTCATGTCAAATCTCTAGTCACAGACATTCTCTATCCACAAGAGATACCAGCGGCGGCAGAGCAGCTTCCTTCTCCTCATTGTCACTGTCCTCGCTCGATCCACTTGGACTCTTGTCCTGAAGATTGAGATCAAGTTGGCGAGCGAAGCTGCATGACGTGGTGATTTCGAGGAGGCGATCACCTCGTCAGGAGAGGACAAGATCAGCGCAAGTTGGTATTGCCCACGTTGACCTATCAGAGCATGTCTAACGGAGAATAAGACAGTGGTAGTGCACCAGTGTTCAACTCCTTGGAGCTCGCTCCGATCTTGTCCCACTGTTGTTCAGTTTCGTAGCGAGTCAAGTCAACAAGACAACAGCAGTTGCAAGAACCTTGACAAGAACGGAATCAAGGTTGTCCCTTACGTGCATGATTGTACCCATCTGCACCATGAGTAAGATCATTGGAATTCATCTCTTCGTCGCATCTTTTCCCCTGTCTCACTTCATTCAGCCCTCTTGCTACCTTTACGATACTCTCCAATTCATCTCTGCTCTCCTTTCCTACTCTTGTCATCCATTGCGACAATGACTCAAGAAGATCTTTTGCCCAGAGGCTTTTTGCCTTATTCTTCAATAACACCTCCCCAATGGGTCCATAATCTTCACCACCTCCGCTGCTTGCTCTTCCCCGTCCTCCACTCCAACTCCCTCAACTGTCAACAAGGAAAGAAAATGACAAGTCAGTTGACCTGATTCTGAGGAATGTAGCTTTGCTTCGATCCCGTCACTCTCATACCGATCCTTGGTTTCAGATGCTTCCCTACCAGCACCTCCCCCATCTCAAACTTGTTCTCCCGCAGTTTCTCCAGCTCTGCTCCTCCAGGACCATCCAGCTGAGAAAAAGGTGAAATTCAGGAAGGGTAACAGCAGAGATGGTTCTGACCTTGACAGCGGCAAGAGAAAATACCCCTCCCCTTCCAGTGTAGCAACCCTCCCGCGTGTTGAATCTCTCGTTGTCCCACGATACTCTGCAGCATGCAATCAAGATCGATTCGCATCGATAGTCGTTAGGAGAACAAGAAGGAGGGAGGCAGAGGAAGACGAGCAGGATGAGAAAGGGGTATGAATCCAGGACGAGGAAATCGAAGAGAGCAGGGTGACGGGAATGTCAAGGATGACGGAAAGGATCAAGAAGCTTGCCGCGAGGATGAGGGGACTAGGACGACAAAGGAGGATAGAAGGAGCATGAGAACGACGAGGACGACAGTGAGGTTGTTGTCAGGACAGCCGCTCGACTATCTCACCTGCACACGCCTCCCCTCGGTGCGTTCAACACGTCGTTGGGAATCTTCATCACTTTGACAATGACACCTGCTCCTCGCGCAAGCCGCGTGTGAACCACCATCATTCCTACACGAGGCTTGACGTCCAGCCCAACCAGCCGTCCCTTGAGCAAACGATGAGGAAGGGAACATGAACTTCTCTGGAGCTAGCACCTCGTACACGTGAGAAACAAACTTGGGGAGCGCACTCTGAGCCTGCTCGGAAGGAAGAAGCCGTCAGCTGGAAAGTGAAGGCACTGCAGCAGAACCTTGACAACCAAGTCGAAATCCTCCAGCCCTGGGACCTTCGAGCACGAAAGCGTCAGTTAGCGGGACCGTTAACGACGGACTTGCGAGCAGAGCGGAGCAGGTGGTTGGCAGTTAACTCACGTACTGATCCGGTGTATGTCTGAAGGAGAGTTTGTTCCATTGAGGGACGCCAGGAGGTTTCTCGGCCCCTTGTGGTCGATATTTATACACAAACACCATGTTTCCTCCTCCTTGGTCGTTGCTGAGTGCGACAAAGCGGTCAAGTCACGAGCCGCTGCCTGTTCCTCCACTGTCACCCAGTCACTGTAGTACACTATCCGATGATCATAAGCCTAGTACTCGGCACAGTGACGACTTGCGGCTGGAAGACGAGTCTGACTGGAGTTCGATCTGACTTCAAGCTTCACTGGCATGATGGAGATAGGCAGCCTTCAGCATGGTACAACATCGCACTGCACTGCCATCGTACAAGCTTGTCAAACGGACTGATGCTGATTTTTAAAACAAAACTTTTTGGTCACCCATCATTCCCCACTCACTTTGTGGAGGCTGTGATGTCGGCGGCTTTCGTGACAACGATGCCAGTATGCTGGGCCCTTCTACCGCCCTCATGCCGCCCTTGCCTGAGCTCCAGGAATGCAGGACTCTGCCCTGGAAAAGTTCTGCGTCCCTCCCTCAGGAAGGGGTTGTGCAGACGATCTGCGTTCCATGACGCCTTCAACGAGCAGGGTCCGGAGCTGGACAAGACCGGGATCATCCTGCAGCCAGCATCGACTGAGAGCCTGCGGCTCAACTTCACGACATACTTCTGTGATGACGTGGTCGAAGCCATGGGAAAGGATGAGCTGCCTGATGGCTTGCGATCGAGTATCAGAGCACTCTGGCCAGAGCAACAAGGCAGCCATGTTCTCATTTCGCATCGTGAGAATGAGATTTCGAGCTGCCTAGACATGTCGTTCGGCCAAACAGAGGTGACGTTGCATGGTATCTGGGTGAAAGACCAACTCCATCAGGGCTCAGGGGACAGAATGCAAACAATTCTCATGATCAAGTGTTTAGAGTCTCTGTCGTTGGAAAACCGTCGCGAAAGGATTGTGGTTTGCCCCTCCAGCACAGGTCTTATGGGCGAGACCTTGAAGGAGATGGGGTATGAGAGTGAGGTTGTAGACAAGACCCCGCGCATGGTGAAAAAGCTGCTGGATCGCAAGGTCGAGTCGCTACTGGGGCGCGACAACGTCAAAGGGAGTGCAGAACAGCTCGACGTCATAAGCTTGCAGGTTGACTTGTGTTTCTTCTTCAACACCCTTCACATCAGTTGTATCCCTACTGCCTGATCTCATGGTTGCTGTTGCGTTCCAGGGAGCAAGAATCTTCACCCTGCAAAGGAGGTTCGTCGAGAAGTACAACTTGCTTCATTCGGCGGTTGGCATCCTCGTCCATAACCGACAAGGACAGATTTATGTGCACAGACGATCACCTCGGAAGAGCATGCATGCGCTGCACTATGACATGTTCGTTGGTGGGCTACTCCTCTCCGGGGAAGCTCCTATGACAGGGGCAAGGTCAACTCACTCCTTCCTACTCTTGAGTTTTTTCGTGAACGATTGAAATCTTTTCCTTTGAGAAGTTTTCAGTTTGTTCGTGCTCTCAACTAATCCTTTGCCCGCAGAAACGAGGTGCGGGAGGAGCTAGGGATCGAGAGGGAGGATCTGGAGGAGGTAGGATGGCCATCGAAATTTTTGCATCCATGACGCATTACTAGCTCTTTCAAGTTCTTTGGTTGAGCTCAAGGAACAGAGTCGTCCTTTCGGTCTTCAAGGTAGCAGACAAGTCCTATGGTACCATGATGATGACTTGAGTGCCCAGGTTGCAGTTGAAGGAGAGCACGAAATCAAGTTCAATGACGGGGAAGTGATCTGGGGCAGATTTATGAGTCTCGTGGAGTTGGAGGACATGATGAGTAAGGAGGAGTTTGTACCTGGTGGCCTCAAGGCGTGGCAGGAGACTGTTGACCGAGGGTTTCATACCAAGGTAATCAAGCTCGACGAGCACAGTTCTCTTACACGATTCAAGTTTCTCAGATAGCTACCGGTCAGCTTTGATTCAAAAGGATGGGCGACATCCTTGCAAGCCCGTCTGCATCAAGAAACATGTCCCACATTCTTATGGCAAAGAAATGATATCTCTTCATTAGATATAGCTTCATTTTGAAAGGCTGAATCCCATTTCATTTACATGGAGGGTCGGTACTGATTCGTTTTATGCCAAGAAAACTTTGCACACCGTCATGCAGAATGAGCTGAATACAGGAATTCTTGCGAAGGAATAGTCGCGTTTGAAATATCAAGACACTTTATTTACACGTACTTCACACTGAAAATACACAAATCGCATCCCAGTAGAACCCTGTCCACCGCCGATGCATGTAAGGAACTTCATCGTTGTAGTCGTCCAAGCATGCGAGAATTTTCATCTATCTGATGAATACGTATCCCCCTTGCACGTGCTCGATCGCCTCGTCGAAAAGCTCATCCTGGTACCCCGTAAACCTCTCCTCCACACCCTCGAGCTTGTTGCTGCTCGGACTGCCCCCACATTGCTCCTCCTCGCAGATCGAGCGGCTGTGAGAATGGCTTGGGACGGAGAGGTTGGTTGGGCTTTGAGCTTGCAGTTTGGTCAGCGCGTCCACGCTGTAGTCGCTGCGGGTCTGCTTGCT